CTTTCTGCTCCCGTAAAGATTTACAGCCTCAGAAACCCTGTACAGGGTCGCTATGAGTCAGAACCGACTCCACGGCACATAACAACAACAACAACAAGGTAGTGTGAAGGGGGCAAGATCAGGACTGTAGGGTGGATGGGATAAGGTTTTTCAGCGAAGTTCTCATCGGACAGCCCTTGCTATCTCTGAAGAATGAAAAGTCGCATTGTTGTGATGCATAAACTCCTTGACACAGCTTTGCTGCCCTTTTCTCATGGATGCTGTTTACATTTTCTAAAAAAAAAGTCTTTGTAATAAGTCCCCACAATTATCCTGTGTCATTTGAGAAACTCTATAAAAACACCCCTTCAGAATCCTCTCAGTCTCTCTGACCCTCTGAGCTCACCTTTCTGACTTTGAATCCCCCTCAGAAGCCACCGTTATGATTGGATCTCTTTTTCTAAGGCACCCTAAGAAAACCACCAACCTTGCGATTTAAACCGACCTTATGGTTGAGTTCTTGTCCTATAGTGCCACATTTGTTGTTGTTAAGTACTGTGAGATCGATTCTGTTTCAGAGACCCTGTATAGGGTTTGCGAGGACTGGCTGGTGAATAGGGTGGGGTGTTGTTGTTGTTGTTGTCAGGTGCCATCTAGTCGGTACGCATAGCGACCCTATGCACAGCAGAAGAAAACACTGCCTGGTCCTGAACCAACCGTACAATTACTGCCACCCTTGAGTCCATCGATGCTGCCACTTGGCCAATGCATCTCGCTGGGGGTCTTCCTCTTTATCTCTGACCCTCCACCTTACCCAGCATGACATCCTTCTCCAGAAACTGGTCCCTCCTGACAATATGTCCAAAGTATGAGACACAAAGTTTGGCCATCTTGGCCTCCAAGCAGCACTCTGGCTGCACTTCTTCCAACACAGATCTGTTGTTTCTTTTGGCAGCCCATGGCACTTTCAATATTCTCCTCCAACCCCATAACTCAAAAGTATCAATTCTTCTACAGTCTTCCTAATTCACTGTCCAGCTTTTTCATGCATATGAGGTTACTGAAAATACCATGGCTTGGGTCAGGTGCACCTTAGTACTCAGGCTGACATCTTTGCTCTTCAACACTTTTTTTTTTTTTTTT